GACAGAGAGAGACACAGCGAGAGAGGGAACACAAGCAGGGGGAGTAGGAGAGAGAGAAGCAGGCTTCCCGCGGAGCAGGGAGCCCGATGCAGGGCTGATCCCAGGACCCTGGGATCATGACCTGAGCCAAAGGCAGACGCTTAATGACTGAGCCACCCAGGTGCCCCCCTAGTGCCTTTTCTTTTTCTTGTTTTATTGAACTGACTAGGGTAGAACTTTTAGTACAATTTTTTTTTTTTAAAGATTTATTTATTTATTTGAGAGAGAGAGCAGGGAGGGAGTGGGGAGAGGGAGAGAGCAAATCTTAAGTAGGCTCCCTGCTGACCGAGGAGCTAGGAGCCTGATAGGGGGCTCAATCAGCCTGATGTGGGGCTTGATCCCACAACCCTGAGATCATGACCTGAGCCGAAATCAAGAGCCGGATGTTTAATCGACTGAGTCACTCGGGCGCCCCATAGTACAATGTTTAAAAGAAGTGGTGAAGAGGATATGCTTTCCTTGGTGCCCATTTTAGGAGGGAGGCATTCAGTATTTAACTGGTAGGTATGTTAACTATAGACTTTTTTTTTTTTTTTAAAGATTTTATTTTTATTTATTTGACAGAGAGAGAGACAGCCAGAGAGGGAACACAAGCAAGGGGAGTGGGAGAGGGAGAAGCAGGCTCCCCGCTGAGCAGGGAGCCCGATGTGGGGCTCGATCCCAGGACCCTGGGATCATGACCTGAGCTGAAGGCAGATGCTTAACGACTGAGGCAGCCAGGTGCCCCAACTAGACTACTTTTCATAGGTGTCTTGTCTTCCGATTGAAGAGGCTTCCTTATATTCTTTTTTGCTGAGAGTTTGTTTTTTTGTTTTCCTCTAATTTTTGTAGTTTTCAACTTCAGAATTTCTTCATGGTTTTTTTTTTGTTGTTGTTGATATTCTTTGTATGGGGAAACATCATTTTCATACTTTCCTTTGTTGATTTTCAAGGCTTCCAGTGAGCTTGGTGGGGAGCATATGGGAGAGGAAATAGAGCAAGTTCAAATGACACAAAGCTCAGTCTTAACCTAGATTTTGCCAGTCTTCTTGAATAAATGCATCCAGATTTCCACAAGCCTTTGGTTAATTTCCGAATTGAAAGGTTGATCATTAGGTGATTTTCTGGTTGCCTTTATGGAAGAGAGTTTTCAGAAGTCCTTACTCTGCTGTTTTCACTGATGTCCCTATCCTATAGCAATTTTAAGAGGAATAAATATTGTTAATAATAGTAGCTTACATTTTGAGTGTACTGTTAAGTGCTTTATGTAATTTGTTAACCATAAATATTAGTTATATGAAATTTATGGTGATTTCAGAAGACATATCTTGCTCCCTTTAAAAATATTTTTAATGTGGGGCGCCTGGGTGGCTCAGTAGTCGTTCAGTGTCTGCCTTCGGCTCAGGTCATGATCCCAGGGTCCTGGGATTGAGCCCTACATTGGGCTCCCTGCTCCGCGGGGAAGCCTGCTTCTGCCTCTGCCGCTCCCCCTGCTTGTGTTCCCTATCTTGCTGTGTCTCTCTCTGTCAAATAAATAAATAAAATCTTTAAAAAAAAATTTAAAAGTAGTTTTAATATAAGCAATCTATATAAAGATTTTCTTGTTTTGCAAATACTTGTTCTTAATTTTGGGCAGTGGGGGTGTAAATTCTTATAAACAGAAACATGAACATTAAATTTATTGTTGACCTTGTGAGAAGACAGTATTATTTTAGTCCTTTAAAATTATTTTTAGGGAACACCTGGCACTTACTTGACTTCTCATAATCAGACTTCCTACACTCAAGAAGCAGCTAAGCCCTCAGTCGGCTCTATATCTCTCGGACTGCCGCGGCAACAGGAATCTGCCAAATCAGGTCAGTGAGTAAATACTCAAAACATTCCTGCACTTGCAGCATCACGGGCAGTAATTCAGCACTTGATCTCTACTTATTTTTCTCGCTTTGGTCCATAGCTACTGTGCCCTACATCAAGCAGGAAGAATTTTCTCCCCGAAGCCAAAACTCACAGCCTGAAGGTTTATTGGTCAGGGCACAACATGAAGGAGTGGTCAGAGGTAAAATACACTGTTTGGCAGAAATATTAAACTTTTGTTCCCAATAAATGTATTAAAGTAAGTCACTAATACATTTTAATGTTGGGTTTTTAAGTTAGAGCCTTTACATTCTAGATTTTCCCTTCTGTATAAAAATAATTAAAAACTTTGAAATTCCATATTTCGGCAATCCTTTTTAATAATTGGAATATTATTTTAAAAGTAGATTTCGGTAAAACACCACTGTTCTTTTTGTACTGCTGTTTCCTTCTCTTAACCCCCCTTCTAAGTAGGGGCTGAGTTTTGTTTGTTTGCAGTGGTAGAAGGTGTAATTTGCTAATCATTTTGGTTTCATTCAGGGACCACAGGAGCCATTCAAGAAGGAAGTATAACTCGGGGAACGCCAGCCAGCAAAATTTCCGTGGAAGGCATCCCATCCCTGCGGGGCTCGATCACTCAGGTGAGTTGTGGTCGTTCCTGATACACTGGACAGTAGCTAATGAGAAGACTGGAAGTCAGGTCTCAAGAGCTCCAGCTGTTCCAGCAGTATAGTTCGGGGGTTAAGTTGCTCATTGTTCTGGATTATGGGACTGGGTCTCAATGGTAATAAACCCAGATCCGTAAACTGTCTGCAGAAAGACATTAATGTGATCATTTTGACCACCAGCTATAATCTAGTCTGTGGGTCATTTGAAAAGGTTAATGATTTACAAATTGACAGAAGAAACAAGTTCTGATTGATGCAGTTCTTACTGTCTTCCTGGCAAAGCTTTTACCGTGTGTTCAGCTCAGATAGAAACGGAGAAGAAAATCAATATAAATTATTTGCTCACTTTTGCCCCTTGTGAAAAAGGTCTGCCGTCCCGACATGGAAGGCACCTGCCTAGGGTCTCATGCTAAACTGGGAGATACAGGCGACGTTGATAGAAGCGCTGGAAGTCAAGTATCTTCTAACAATTTCAGGCTCAATAAATTGCCAGTTTTGATTAAGACAAGGTCTTTCTTTTCCTCAGTTGGTTAGATGTTAATTTCACTTGGAAGTGTAACAGTCTGTAGCCTCTTTATTATTGTCGATCTGGGAAAGGAAAATTCTCTTGGGAAATCATTGTAAACAGAATCCTGTGCTTTTGCACCTTGAACCACAAGTTTCCTGTTTTATTCTTCTTCCTTGTCTTTTGTCCTTGTCCCCTAGGCCAGTGGCTAAAGTGTGGCTCCCAGGCCAGCAGCGTTAGGCATGTAAATGGTCGGGCCCCACCCCAGATTTCCTGAAGTCGCATCTGTGGGGGCGGGGCCCAGCAGTCTGTGTTTTCCCGCCCTCCGGTGATTCTGCTGCATGCCCATTTGAGAACCCTGCCCTGGGACCTCGCTGATCAAGTGTAGTCTGTGTCCCAGAGCATCAGCATCACTTGGGAGCTTGTTAGATTAATGCAGAAATTTTAGTTCCCACTTCAGACCTGTGAATCAAGGTCTCCATTTTAACAAGACCTGGTTTATGGAGTTATATGGCTTAGAGACCTAGAAGATTACATGTGAACTCTTCACATCTCTCCATCTACATTTGACCAAAGTATACATCCTGAAACTAGTTTTCAAAATAAGCAAACACTTTAATAGTAGAGGCAAAAGAGAAATAAATGCCTTATGCATATTATCTTTTCTTGTTCATTTTCACTCTAGTAACCAGGTTGTGGGTAGGAAGACAGAATGAACTGGATGATATGAGGCTACGCTTTTTCTTTGTTTATTTTCAAACCAGTCTGTCTATGTGAAGTGAGTACTTCCAAAATGGGTGTTAAGGATTCCCAGATGTTTACTGCCGAGCCCATTTGAATGGCCGAAAAATGAATGTTTTTTGTCATTCTTTCTACTCTAAGTGTGTGGTTTCAGATTGTCCTCATGAGAATTTTGGGGACGCCAAATGTGTGAGTGGGCTAAATCTGGGCCTGCCATGCCCATTTCAACCCAAGCAGCTCACTTTTACAAAGTGTTCGACCCAGTAGGTTCCATGAATGATTTCTCTGGAAGGGAGGGTTTACTGCTTAAAGGAAAGGTCAAAAAGAACCGTGCCCATAGGTAAACCAGAAGAGGACTAATTAATGATGGTGAAGATTCAGAGGATGTGACCTAAACTGAATCCATAGCACAAGATGGAGGCATCTGAGTTTTCTCGGTCCTGTCTCCCCTTCCCCCACTGGTGACCAGAGGTTGAATCCAGCAGACACTTTGGGAACTGCAAGTTCTTTTTTCCTCTTATCACAGTGTGAGAGAAGGTTGCAGTATTCTTTAAATTTTTTATTGTTATGTTAATCACCATACATCATTAGTTTTTGATGTAGTGTTCCATGATTCATTGTTTGTGCATAACACCCAGTGCTCCACACAGAACGTGCCCTCTTTAATACCCATCACCAGGCTAACCCATCCCCCCACCCGCCTCCCCTCTAGAACCCTCAGTTTGTTTTTCAGAGTCCATCGTCTCTCATGGTTTGTCTCCCCCTCTGATTTCCCCCCCTTCATTCTTCCAGAAGGTTGCAGTATTCTAAATTTAAAACTTAATTTATCGTCTTATTTTTATTAGACATTTTGAAAAAACATATTACACTTAGCATGATTTTTGGCCTTTAAGACCAGATTTTTTTTTTTTTTCCCGAGCGTTAAGAGGTTTGACTTCAAGGTGGGAAAGAAAGTTGATTTGACTCCTACACCTGTCCAGATTTTAAGTTTTGTGGGGCAGGGTTCAAGGATTAAGGTACAGTATTTCTTTATAAAAACTTAATATCTGGGTTTCCTCTCATGTCTTTGTCCTTTCTTCTTTGAAGATATGGAAGGATCTGACTCTCCGTGTGGTAGGGTAAGTTGTTTCTGAGCATCTCGTGTCTCCTCTAAACCTGAGTGTTTGTGTTTGATTTGATGGCAGGGTACCCCAGCCCTGTCACAGGCTGGCATACCAACTGAGGCGTTGGTGAAGGGATCCATTTCTAGAATGCCCATTGAGGAGAGCAGTCCTGAGAAAGGCAGAGAGGAAGCTGCATCCAAAGGTCATGTTATTTATGAAGGCAAGAGTGGACACATCTTATCCTACGATAGTAAGTATGATATCTGTACTTTGAAGCCAGTACTGTGATGGGGACTAGAAACATGGGCTCTGGCTCCCCACGTATGTATTTGGGGGAGTTCGTTCTCCCTTCTTGTGGAAGTTTTGTGAAAATTTAACCGAGACGGTCAATGAAAAATGATAAACAGTGCAGAGCCCATAGTACGTGGTTCTGTAATTGGTAGCTAATCTCAACTATGGCCAGTCGATTTAGCCTAAGAAAAGAATCTTCAACTTTAGTAGAATCACTTTTATTTTATTCTGTTTTATTTTATTTTTAAGATTTTATTTGAGAGAGAGAGAGAGCAAGCAAGAGAGTGGCCACGAGTGGGGGAGGGGCAGAGGCAGAGGGAGAAGCAGACTCCCCGCTGAGCAGGGAGACCGATGCGGGGCTGGATCCCAGGACCCTGGGATCATGACCTGAGCCAAAGGCAGATGCTTAACCTACTGAGCCACCCAGGTGCCCCAGGTGAATTAGGGAGTAGATAATAATCTGATAATCCTGGAAAGACTATTGAATTTAAATTCTTAATTTAAATTATTTTAATGTCTATGTGTGTAAGCATTTTCTTTAGATGTATTCTTAGGTTATATTTTCTCAATGTTACAAGAATGACTCAGTTATGGTTAAAAAAAAAAAGTGAGGGACTGGATTTGAGTTCCTGTTTGCAACTGTTTTGTGATCTAAGTAGTCATTAGTCATGTTTTATCTTTGTTTGATACAAAGATAAAAGGTATGTGAGCACACAGTGTCTGATGCAAAACACATGGTAACTTTCTTATTTCCTTCCTCCTTTCTTGTTTTAACATTTCTGGCATATGCTGATTTACATTTTGCTTCTGGAGGAAGAAATTAATGTACGTTGCCTAAGCCAGAAATGTAGATGTCGTCTTTAACACTTGTTCTCTTTCCACATCCAGTCCGTCACTGAGTTGTTTCTGTTCTCTTTTCTGAATTCTCTGGAATCCATCCATTTCTCTGTTCCCCACTTGCCACCATCGTCTTTCGTCCGGATAACCGGGCAGCTGCCCCTGATCCCCCCAACCTTTAGTCATAACCCGTATTCAGCACTGTAACACATCACCTCCTGCTTGACCGTTCATTGCTTTAAGATCAGTGGAAGCCCCTTCCCTTGGCTTGCTCCGCCCTCCGCGATCTGCTCCTGTCCCACTGTTCACTTCCTGCGCTTCCCTCGGCCCCCTTGCACTGCCTTCCCGCGGCCCCCTTGCACTGCCTTCCCGCGCACTCCGCCTCCAGCTCCGCCCTGCGCACTGGCCACGCACGGAGCTCAAGTTCTTTGTCCCACGCTCTGTCTCGCCTTGGCGTCTGTGCGCCTGTACCACCTCCTCCTCCCTTACCTGTGGCTGAAGCATCTCCGCCTTATCCTTCAGTTCTCCGTCTACATTACTTCTGTAGGCAGCCTTTTCGGGGCCCTTTAATAAAAGTGTTAGGTTCTCCGTCTGGCATTCTCGCAGTACGTGTACCTCTACAGCAATTCCCCAGCACTTTATCGGTGTTTGCCACGATTGGGTAGGTTTCATGAAGGAAGGCACTTAATTTGTTAACCTTATCTGCAAGCCTAACTTACTTATGCCTGGCACTCAAATAATTTGATTTAATGAAAAAAATTTCATAAGTATCAATTACACAGTAGTATGTTGTAGGTTGACTGACTTTTATTATTTTTTGTAAGATTGTGAAACTTAAGATAACTGATTGACTGTAGTGTAGGCTTTGGGCTGTGTCTGAGCAATTCTATTTCTGTGTTCTGCAGATATTAAAAATGCCCGAGAAGGGACGAGGAGTCCAAGAACAGCTCATGAAATCAGTTTAAAAAGAAGCTATGAATCAGTGGAAGGAAATATAAAGCAAGGGTTGTCGATGAGGGAGTCTCCTGTTTCAGCACCGTTGGAGGGTAAAATGTTGTTTCCAGAACTTTATTTAGATACATTTAATTTTGTACAGTAAATTTCCATGGTTGGGTTAGGTTGTATTCAGTCTCTGTCATTTCTACGTGAAATTTATATTCATATTACTATATAAATGAAACTTATATTAATATATCATTATATTAATAATATATAATATAGTAAAATATATAATTAACACTATATTAATATGAGCTTATTGATATGTTTAAATTTATATTCATATCTACATATAAATCAAGTACATGACAGTGGTAGGAAGTAAAAAACATAATCAGTCATATCATAGGTAACTAGTAGAATGCTCATAAAATTTGTAGACTATTCCTGTTAGGGTTCAGTGAGGTGAAAAATGTAAAATTCATTTTGAGAACTTTGTTTTTGTTTTGAGGCAGTTAAAGCAGGGCTGCACTGTTTCCTGATGAATTTTGCTGTGCGAGTTTCATCCTCTGTAAATGAAGGGATTGTAGTTACAGTGTGAGGACTCGAGACAGGTGTCCAAGCTTGTGCTGACCACGATAAGCATTCACTACCTCATACCTGTAGTTTTATTTTGTTAATGACTCACTTTCTTTAAGCCTTAACCTGGCTCAACTGTTTAATGTTAATCTAGGTGAAATACTAAAAACAGGGTAAGGATTCCTCAATCTTAGAGAAGTCCTGCATAATTTTCTAAGAGCTGGAGTTTCTCTGTATTTAAAAAAAAAAAAATCTCACTTCCCTTTACTTTAGGGTAATTGCGTGTGGTTATTTCCAATCCTTGATTCAAATTTATTGTGATGTGACGTGAAACATTTTAAGAGGTTATTTACAGCTCTTTCATTTTGACTTGCATGTTTTCGTTTATGTATTTTACCTGTTTTTGAGGTACCGCACTCATCCTTCGTGTTTTCCCTCTCTCAGAGGTGTGTTTCAGAGCTAAACAGTGATTCTCAACCCCTCTGTGTGTCTCCTCACCTTGAGAAAGAAGCATTGAATTTTAGATGTAGTTTCGAAAGTGTCTTTCCTTTTTGACTTATAATAGATGTGTTCTGTCGCTATTTTCTCTTTAGAAGACTGTTTAAAAAGGAACAGTGATGTCATGTTGGGTACTTCAGACTGAGTTTTTCCATGATATTCTTCTGAATAGTTCACAAATTTAAGATGATATCTCTTTCTCCATAGGGCTTTTATCAAAAAGTGCATACTCTAAGGTCAGTATAAAGTATATGTGAACTGGCATACACATTATGTTTAATATTTGAATTGCTTTCTTGTTTTGAAAGGGCTGATATGCCGAGCATTACCCAGGGGGAGCCCTCATTCTGACCTCAAAGAAAGGACTGTGCTGTCTGGTTCCATAATGCAGGGTAAACTTTGTTTTGGCTTTTATTCATGACTGCCTCATTGGCAGAGTAGTTAAACATTAATTTGCAGTGCATGAAGCCTGCTTTTCAAGTACTCTCCCTTTTGAAATATTAGATATTTAAGTCTTGATTTTAACTCTTCTGTTTCTGAGCTACATAGTTTATATGAAGATGATAGTTGCCTAATCTTTGAATATAGAGACATCTTCATTATGTAAGAACCATTCTGATTGTGATGCACAGACTTAATTGTATTGTCTTGAACCACCTGAAAAAAATGCCGACTTATGAATATTTAAAGATGTGTTGTAAACAGAAAATTGATTAAAAACTGCAAGATGACAAGGTATTAATTTTTCTAAATGGCAGAAAAATATACGTATCAGGATTTACTATTTTAACAATTTTTAAATGTACAGCTCAATCACATTGTTCTGCAACCATTGGCATTACTTTAATAAGCACGTTTTCTTGAATTCTTTCTTGAAGGCACACCAAGAGCAACAACGGACAGTTTCGAAGACGGTCTTAAGTACCCCAAACAGATTAAAAGGGAGAGTCCTCCCATGCGAGCATTTGAAGGCGCCATCACCAAAGGAAAACCATATGATGGCATTACCACCATCAAAGAAATGGGGCGTTCCATTCATGAGATTCCACGGCAAGATATTTTAACTCAGGAAAGCCGAAAAACTCCAGAGGTGGTCCAGAGCACAAGGCCAATAATCGAAGGTTCCATCTCCCAGGTAACTACATCAGGGTGCTTTTTGTCAACCGTTCCACTCCCGACTGTGATATTCATGGAGCATTTTGAGAAGCATGACTTAATAATTATAAGTAGTTCTTATGATGTCAGATCTTTTGGAAGTAAAGGTAAAAGTTTTAGGTATGCTTTAGTATTCGTTTTTCACATGTCTGTATTGGGGAATGTATATTTCGAGAAAGTTCGCAGCTCTGGGTTTGTGAGTGTGTGATTGACACACCCACACAGATAGTAAAGATTACCGAAGCAAATTACCGTTGCCGTGAGCTGAGCTGACCTGAGATGGAAAAATCTTCGGATGCCTCGGGCTACCTATAATGTTTGTTTCTTTTCTTTTAGGGCACACCAATAAAGTTTGACAGCAACTCAGGTCAATCTGCCATCAAACACAACGTCAAATCCTTAATCACGGGGCCTAACAAACTACCCCGTGGGATGCCTCCACTGGAAATCGTACCAGAGAACATAAAAGTGGTAGAACGGGGAAAATATGAGGATGTGAAAGCAGGCGAGCCAGTGCGTTCCCGACACACATCGGTGGTAAGCTCTGGCCCCTCCGTCCTCAGGTCAACACTTCATGAAGCTCCCAAAGCGCAGCTGAGCCCGGGGATTTATGACGACAGTAGTGCACGGCGGACCCCTGTGAGTTATCAAAACACCATGTCCAGAGGCTCGCCTATGATGAACAGAACTTCTGATGGTATGTTACTCTTCTGTCCTTGTTTGCTCGTTGTGATTGCGCTTTCCCACCTCCGGTAAAAAGTCGGTGTCAAATGGTTAGCTTTGGATTGCCACAGGATCTGCAGGTTGTGCTTGATATGGGGCCTGTATGGAAGGCTACCAAATGAAAAGTAGGGATAATCGTAGGTAAAAGATCTATTTTAATCAAGTGCCGAGGATGCTGGAGTCCAGAAGTGCTCTAGAATAAGTACATTCTGAGAGTGGCCTTTCAGCTCCTCCTTCCAGGTGTTCTGGAAGTCGGCGTTGACCGTTGTTTGTTTAGCGGCCGTCTGGTGTGGCAGTTCAAAGTTCAGGTTGTGGAGCAAGACGGCCTGAACTTGAATTAAGGTTCTTCTCACTGCGTGACCTTGGACGAGTTACTTCACTTTGCTAGGCCTTAGTTTCCTCATCAGTAAAGGTATTAAGGTTTCCTCACTGGACTGTTGGGAAGGTTACATGAGGTCATGTGTTTGAAGGACTTGGGAAGGAGAGAATCCGAACTATTGTTATTGCCGTTGCTGTTGTTGTTGGTATCACGCCCCGCCTCCCCGGGCTTTCTGCTGCTCGCTGGTGCGTAAGGTACGAGGCGTTGAGTTTTATCAGGTGGTCCCTGAAACCGCCTGCAGCCCATACGAACGTCCCCACTCGTCCTCTCCAGCGTTACTGCAGTACGTGTTTATTGCGGGCTCACGTGCAAGGTCCCGGCTGACGCTGCGAGAGCTGGGAAGGTGAAGAGTGTTTTGTGTGGCGGGAGAGGAGCAGCCTGGAAGGAAGAGGAAAGGGAAGTGTCAGTCGGGGAGGTGGAGTGGCAAATGCAGAGCCCCGGGCTCGGGTTCTGAAGGCGAATTGCCTGCCGAGGGAAAAGGCACTCTGTGTTTGAGCATACTGGCGCTCGGGAGGTGATGCAGCAGACCCGCATGGTTGCTTGGTTTTGTCTGGCAGATTTGTGTAATCACGGCCAAGTTGATGTTATCAAACTATTAATAATGAGGAGGTGGTGCACACCACTGAGTGTATTAATGCCCCTGAATCGTACCCTTTAAAATGGTACCTTTTATGTTTTGTGTGTTGTACTACAATTGTTAAAACAGTGGAGGGTGATGGCTAGTAAGTGTCGGGATATGCTGTTCATTGGGGAGATGATCTAATAACTTCTGAATCACATCGTTTAAAAAAGAGAGCCTGGGGTAGGGAGGTGGTTAATATGGGTGAGCTCATGAGAAAGGCTTTGTGGAAGGTCCAGGGCAAGGAAAAATAGCGTCAGGTAGAGACCGGCGGGCAGCAGAGGGGGCGGCACAGGCAGAGAGAGGGAGTTGTGACTTGGGTACCTGGGGGATCGAGAAGAATTTGGAATGTTCAAGCCATACAGAAAACAAAATCATTTATAATGGGATTGAAAGAGGAGTGTTGAACTTCATGTTTAATCTTAACGTCAGGTGCTAAAATGCTGGTGCTATGATCCACAAGGTGGTAATCTCTCAATCTCAGAAGCTTCTGCTAGTTCTGCACAGTTGCATATTTTACAAGATTGAATATTAAATGTTTGGTGGAAGCAGATAAAAATATAAATACAGTCTGTATTTGGTTGGGTGAGAAATGGATAAATACAGTTGACCCTTGAACAACACTGGTTTGAACTGTGCAGGTCCAGTTAATGTGGATTTTTTTTTTAAAATAAATACAGTACAGTGCTATAAATGTATTTTTCTCTTACATTTTTTTTTAAGTTTTATTGTTTTTAGAGAGAGAGAGGGAGCATGTGCACATGAGTGGGGGAAGGGACAGAGGGAGAGAAAGAGATAAGCCGACTCCTCACTGAGTGCAGAGCCCAGCGCAGGGCTCGATCTCACAACCCTGAGATCATGACCTGAGCTAAAATCAAGAGTCGGATGCTCAACCAGCTGAGCCACCCAGGTGTCCCTCTCTTAAAATTTTCTTAACATTTTGTCTCTAGCTTACTTTATTGTAAGAATATAGGATATAATACATATAACATACAAAACATGTGCTAATTGGCTGTTTATGTTCTCAGTAAGCCTTCCTGGTCAATAGTAGGCTATTAGCTTTGGGCGAGTCAAAAGTTAAGCATGGAGTTTTGACTGTGTGGAGGGTCGACGCCCCTAAACCCTGTGTTGTTCAAGGGTCAGCTGTATAATCTTACTGCCCAAGTTTTCTTAAGAAGTTGTGGTGTTGGCTTTTTTTTTTTTTTTTCCAGTTACGATTTCCTCTAGCAAGTCTACTAATCATGAAAGAAAATCGACCCTGACCCCTACCCAGAGGGAAAGTATACCAGCGAAGTCTCCAGTACCTGGGGTGGACCCTGTAGTAAGCCACAGCCCTTTTGATCCCCACCATAGGGGCAGCACCACAGGAGAGGTTTATCGGAGCCATCTTCCCACACATTTGGATCCAGCCATGCCGTTTCACAGGGCTCTGGATCCTGGTAAGCACAGGGGCTAGTGATGATTTATGGCAAAGAAATAATATACCTGTATGACCTTCCAAACTCTCTTTATTAAAGTATAATATGCAGACTGTTACGTATATCATTAGCGTGCCGCTCATTGAATTCTCACACACTGCACACCCCCATGCTACCAATTCTGAACCAAGAAACAAAATATTACCAGCACCCTTACAGAACTGAGAAAAAAAAATAGGTTAAACATTCAAACTTACAGTGTCAGTATTCATTTTATCAGTGTTCTGATGTAAGGTCAGGGTCTGCTGATGAAATCTCTCCCTTGTCTTTGTTACATAAGTGAAACTCCCGTTTCATTCCAGGTTTCCTTTTTTAAGTGAAGCTAGAATTTACAGCCACTTCAAAGCAATTTAAATACAGAATCCTTCCAGGTTTCTTTTCTCAGTCTTTCAAAATTGTCTCGTCCGTACCTGATTCAACTTCTATACTGAGTCTTTCCAAAGCAGTCAACTTAGTTTCCAGAGAAATCATTCTTTTCATTCTTTTCTCAACAGCCTCCAGATTACTTTGTTAAGTTACATAATTACAGTAGCAGGTACAACGAGGGAACTTTCGAACAGACAGACCCCTCTGACTGTGGGTAGACATACTCGTTGGAGGTGCAGGAGTCTGTAGGTTTTCTGGAGAGCAGTCTGCAGTGGGCACGGGGCAGTGGGTTCTGCAAGGCGAAAGGAGTCCTGTCAGCACATCGGTGGTGACTTGACCCATCCATGTGCCAGCTTCCCCCTGTCCTCCCCATCTTCGTCCCTGTTCCTCTTGCCCACTGAGCCCCACTCAGATGGGTGTTTTCTGCTCATACCTCTTCTCCGGCCTAACTGGCTTGTTTGTTACATCCTTCAAGTTGAAATTCGGACACAGGACACCCGTGTTTTACCATGGTCCTTAGGGAGGAGATATGCCAAGATTTCTAAGGGTTGTTTACATTATGGAAGCAAGGTACCTGTGGAAAATATTTTATCTTTTGGAGGTCATATCAATGGCATCAAATTGTTGGTCACTGGAGAACGTTAGGTTTCAGAGGAGTCTACACATAGTTCTTCAGGGACTGTCTCCCAAAACTGAGGCAGAAGTTCCCACAGAGTCCACTGACAGACTCACCCTGCTGGGAGTTCTGGATGAAGAAAGGTGAAGAAAACATTCCAGAAAACTTGTCATTTATTTTTCTAGGGAAAACATATATATTTAAAATAGTTCACTCAAGTTTTCAGGCAAAATTGAATGTGTATATTTTAATGTAGTGCTTCTCATAGTCCTTCATTTTATAGCAGTTTTATATGCTTGTTATTTTTGAGCTTGAGCTGAATTTAAGTGTTTTGAGCAGAGAGACATTACCTTCTCCTTTTTACCATACATACCTACCCCTTCCTAGCAACTCATGTCATGCTGTAACCCAGGTTGTCAAACTATGGCCAGGGGGCCAAATCCTGCTGCTGCCTATTTGTATAAATAAAGTTTTAGTAGAACACAGGCACATGTTTGTGGGTGTTGTGTCTGCGGCAGCTTTCATGCTACAATGGCAGAGTTGAGTAGGTGAAGCAGACCATATGGTCCACAAAGCGGAAGATATTTACCATCTGGCCTTTTACAGAATAAGTTTGCTCATCTCTGCTCTGAACACATGCATTAATTAAATGCTTATAGACTAATCATTTTCAGCCCCAGGAAAGCGGTTATTTGTCACAAAGTGTGTTCACGTGTATTTCCGTTTGGTTGTGTTGAATGGTCAGTACTACAAAAATAATTTGATTTTCAGACGCAGCCCTTGGAGACTTAGGTGAAATTATAATTAAGTTACGTGGCAAAGATCGGAAGTGCAACTGCTTGAGAAGTTTCTTAGCTCCTCTTCTACCAGTGAAAACGTTCATACTCCCACTGTGTCTTGTTTCTCCCCCCTTTTCCGTTACATCTGACATTAGAGTGTGTGTATTCATATCGCTGATGTGTCAGGGTCTGACATGCATCTCCTTCACTCCCTGTAACCTCCCACCCACACTAAAGCCGCATGCGCATAGTAGCTCAACAGCAGGAGCCTCACCTCTTTCTGTGGGTGGCGTTTAGTGAATGAATTTCCCCTGGACTGAACTAAATGCCTTTCTCTCGTTCTCGCCACCAGCAGCTGCTGCTTACCTGTTTCAGAGACAGCTCTCCCCAACCCCAGCGTACCCCAGTCAGTACCAGCTTTATGCAATGGAGAACACCAGACAGACAATCCTCAATGATTACATTACCTCACAGCAGATGCAAGTGAATCTGCGCCCGGATGTGGCCAGAGGCCTCTCCCCACGGGAGCAGCAGCTGGGCCTCCCGTACCCAGCCACAAGGGGTGCGTGTCTTGGCGTTCGGGTTTCCTAGGATGGGTTAGGTGTACCGAGTGTCAGTGAGTATTTGCTGAGTGAACGATGGAATGGAAGAAAAGGCAGCCCTGTCCTTGCCTCTGTAGCTTTTAGCCCTCGGAGGTAAAGTGATGCATCAAGATGGGGTGTTTTGGTGAACACTGACATAGCTGAACTATCTGAAGTCACTGTCTTACCAGTTTGCTCTCTCTTGGTAACCTGTCCACGCTTTCAGGTGACTCGTGTGGGGCGCAGGATTTCATAGCCTTGTGTAGATTTAAAGAAGGTCTTACAAAGTCATGATGATCTTAACCATTTTTATTTATACTGTATACAAAGTATCATTGAGTTACACAGAGAAAGGATTTTAAAAAGCCGCGTACAGTTCTGTATCTTTAGAGAAACTGACATTTAACATCGTTTTATTGTCTTTGCCTTGCGAGCAGGAATCATTGACCTGACCAACATGCCTCCAGCGATTTTAGTGCCTCATCCCGGGGGCACGAGTACGCCTCCCATGGACAGAATCACTTACATTCCTGGCACACAGATTACTTTCCCGCCCAGGCCGTACAACTCTGCGTCTGTGTCTCCAGGTGAGAGACCAGTCACGCCCCCCTCTGCTGTGACCAGCGTGCCTGAATGTTGACAGCATAGCCTTTGAAGGCGTTTTGGGCTTTCCCCCCATCTGTCTGTTGGTTTTTTTTTTTTTTTTTAAGATTTATTTGAGAGAGAGAGAGAGTGAGCAGGGGGAGGAGCAGAGGGAGAGGGAAAGAACCTGCTGAGGGTGGAGCCTGACACAGGGCTCGAGCCCACCGCCCTGAGCTAAAATCAAGAGTAGGATACTCAGCCGAACTGAGCCCCCCCAGCCGCCCCTGCTCTGCTGTGTTTCACTTAATATTTAGTAACAGTTCTTCTACGCCATCTGTCACCAGATACGCCAGAAATATCCCAAAAGCTTGTGTTAGGTGTCACTTGTCATCCAAGACTCTACATCTCAAGTTGGGAGCGTTTTGAAAAATTTTCAGTCACTTAAAAATTTAAAAGTTGTTTGTACCCGGCGGGTTGATGTTCTTGTCTTTAAGTTGCAGATTTCCGTGTCTTACAGGACACTCGACGCACCTTGCAGCGGCTGCGAGTGCTGAGCGGGAGCGGGAGCGGGAGCGGGAGAAGGAGCGGGAGCGGATCGCCGCGGCCACGTCCTCAGACCTCTACCTTCGGCCAGGTGAGCAGCGTGCTGTTGTTCGTGCCGTGGACTCTCCTTGGTAATCGGTACAACAGGGCATCGGGCTTCCTGTCGAGGGGGCTGCTGAGCTGATCTTAAACGCAGGAATCAGGAGACAGAAAGTAATCTCAGGCCTTAAGTGAAGCGCAGGTGAAAGTGCAGTATGCGAACTCTGAACAGGAAGCTGAGGTTTTCACCAGGAAGGCATCATTTTGATTTGGCCCCAGCAGTTGGCTGCCATTGGGCCTGAAGATCCTGGGCGCAGAGCTCAGTGAGGCTGAAAGCCCGAGCAAAGGCTCCCGGTCACGAAGATGCGCTGTGCTGTGGGGCTGGCGTTTGAGGAAGACGGCCGTACAAGGAGAAGGCCGGTGACACTGGCAATGACAGGTGCTGCCCTGCGGCAGGAGGAGGGCCTGGAGGCGGGTTAGAACCCTGGAGGGGGCGTGGGCTGGTGCCAGGAGCCACAGCGAGGCCATGTGGCCAGGCAGGGCCGGGAGGAACGCTGTCACCGTGCACAGAGGACTGGGCAGTAGCTCAGTGGGGGGGGGGGGGGGGGGGGGCGCGAGAAACAAGCCAGCTCTGCACGGAAGACAGAGCAGGATTAGGGAAAGGAGAGAGGGAGGAAGGGAGTTTCACCGTCGGACGTACTTTGAAGCATCTCTGGAACATTTGTTCTGACCCGTGGTAGACTTGTCATTTTGCGTTCTGTTCTGTCAGTAAGAGAAAAGTGCTTCCCGTGTCCATGTTGATGGACAGACAGATCTGGCCCTTAGGAGAAAAGACAGGCTGCGCACGGGGACCTAGGAGTCCCCTGCAAGGGTCGTGACTCTGGATGGGGTGAGACTTCCCAGCGGCCGGTGTGTGGGGAGGGGTGGGGCGGTCCGTAGGCGGTCCCGGCAGGGGTGTTAGAGGTGCAGGCAGAGGGGACCAGAGACTCGGCCAGAGAGGTGGGTACAGAACCGAAGGGTGCGAGGCAGGCAGGCTGTCACACTCGTGCTCATGGGGGACAGACCTCGACATCAGAGTGGTGGCAGTGATAGAGCAGGGGCCCAAGGCTGGTCTTCGTATTCGACCCAGGATTTATGTTGAATGAATCAGTGGTTGCAAAGCCCAAAGATACTGAGCTGTAACCTACTGTCTGTATATAGTAAAAAATCACTAAGTGACCACAAGAAATGCTTTAGTGAGTTGTGAGGTAGCAGCCTAATACTGATTATATGTTGACTGCATAATAACATGGCCATTGATTTAATTAAAGCATAACTTGGGTAGGAACTATATATTTTTTTGAGTTTTTTTTAAATTCTATTTTATGATGTTATATTAATCACCATACATTATATCCTTAGGGTAGGAACTATATTTTTTTAAAATGCTCATGATCACATTAATGAATAACATGCAAATTCAAGATGATATAATACCATTTTCCTCCATCAAACATTTAAAAAGTTGATAAATATTCTGTGTTGCCGTGTCCAAAGAAACATGGACTCTCACACATGGTCAGCAGCAGTGTAAACAGGGATAGTCTTTGCGGGGGTACAAAAACTTAAATAGCAGTGCCTCTTCTAGGAGTCTAGAAATGCTTGTATCAGCAGTTGTGTGGTGGGAAGGGGGAAAATGGCTGAGAAGCTTGCGCTAGGTGGTCCGTGCTGTGGGAGTAGGGGCGTGTGCGGAAGCGGCCCGCTCTTCTGAGGCCAAAGGACAGAGGAGGCAGAGAAGAGAGGGATTAGAGAGGGAGTTTGAGATCTTCGCAGTTGAGTGGTGCTGACCAAGTCCAAGCCGTGGCTGTGTTACGGGAGAGCTGAGGTCAGTGAACAAAACCATCCCAGCTGTTGGGGAGGCTGTTCGTGGCACTGAGTCTTGGGGGAGGGCAGCGTGAGTGACGTGTCCAAAGAGAGCTCGCTGAGAGGAGCCCTTCACTGGGCAGGGCAGAGGCGGAGCAGAGCAGGGAGAGCTGTGGCAGGACGAAGCTGCTCAGGCCGCAGGCTGGTGGCGGTGTGCCGTGTCCATCACGGTACTTAGACGGCTGCACCGAATGGAAATGATCAGCACACCAGGGTCTGAGGAAAAATCTGAGAGATGAACTTGTCTGATTTGTGTGAGGACAGCCGACTCTTGCACAACTTGGGGGTTAGGGGCGCTGACCCCCCCCCCCCGCCACGCACTAGAAAATCCAGCCATAACTTTGACTCCCCAGAACTTAGCTTAACTTAGGTGGAGAAGAGATCTGTTCAGTGTCTGTACAGCTTCCTATTGACCAGAAGCCTTACAGGTAACAGAAACAGCTGACACATATTTTGTATCTTCTGTGTATCCCGTACGGTATTCTTATAGTAAAGTCAGCTAGAGAAAAAAATGAGAAAATCGTAAGGAAAATCTATCTACATCTGCTGTAGTTTTCACACCGAAAATCCATGTGTAGGTGGAGCCATGCTCTTCAAACCCCTGTTGTTAAAGGGTCAACCCTACGTCAGTGTTGGTGTTACTTTTGTTTCTCTCTGAATCAAGGTAGAAACTTGTCACATAAACGGAAGTGACAGTAACTGATAGTTGATGTTTTTGTTGCGAGTTACTGGTATGGTTTTATTATATCTTTACTGAGAAGCTCTTAGAGAACATACTTCTAGAAAGGCCAAAAAGCAGGGTATCCGGTTTCTTACCTTTTTTCTGTTTAGGAATATTAGGAAATGAACAAGCCCTGAATGTTGCTGTCTCTGGCTTCTTCCTTATGGCTTGTCTTTTCTTCTTCTTTTTTGTTTTGGCCTTCGCAGGCTCGGAACAGCCGGGCCGACCGGGCAGTCATGGATACGTCCGCTCCCCGTCCCCTTCAGTAAGAGCCCAGGAGACCATGTTGCAGCAGAGACCCAGCGTGTTCCAAGGAACCAATGGAACCAGTGTAATCACACCTTTGGATCCAAGTGCTCAGCTCCGAATCATGTGAGTCCCTTGTGCGCATTTTGACCGAAAGCGGCAGTCTCTGGCACATACCGCACACTTGCAAATGTGTGACCGCGATGGTTTGGGGATGTACGCTTCGTTGTTGCCGCTTGTCCTCCCGCCACCCTGGCACGTCCCCGGTGGAGCCCGCCCTTCACGGACTCGTGTGTGGTTTGCTTTCGTTTGCAGGCCGCTGCCCGCTGGGGGCCCGTCGATAAGCCAGGGCCTGCCGGCCTCCCGCTACAGCACCGCTGCGGACGCCCTGGCTGCCCTTGTGGACGCCGCAGCCTCTGCCCCCCAGATGGAGGTTTCCAAAACCAAAGAGAGTAAGCATGAAGCTTCCAGGTTAGAAGAAAATTTGAGAAGCAGGTCAGCAGCAGTTAGTGAACAGCAGCAGCTAGAGCAGAAACCCCTGGAGGTGGAGAAGAGATCTGTTCAGTGTCTGTACACTTCTGCAGCCTTTCCAAGTGGCAAGCCCCAGCCTCATTCTTCAGTAGTTTATTCTGAGGCTGGGAAAGATAAAGGGCCTCCTCCAAAATCCAGATATGAGGAAGAGCTAAGGACCCGAGGGAAGACTACCATTACTGCAGCTAACTTCATAGACGTGATCATCACCCGGCAAATTGCCTCGGACAAGGATGCAAGGGAACGTGGCTCTCAAAGTTCAGACTCTTCTAGTAGCTGTATGTATCTCAATCTGAGTTTTGCAATGTGATATCTGAGTAAAGAATTACTTTATTCTTTAGGTAAAGCAGAACAATATGATATAAAGAAAATCCTGATCTGAGAGTAAATGTAATGGAAAGGTTCTGTGGGTTAGTAGTGCAAAAAATGTCTCTTCTGTTTGTCATGATTATTTAAACTTCAGAGTTTCTTAAGTATGCCTGTCAAAGTATTTTCCATGGAAACACTGTGTCCCTTAGAGAGGTAAAATTGGAAAGTAGACAGGGCAGAGCTCGTGATCATTTTTGGGCATCTGAAAGGTCAGAGAGGCTACCAAGGCCTCTTAAGAAGCATTTTCTAGGATGAAGTTCAGTATTGAGGTTGATACCCCAAAGTCTCTTACATCCTTTTTCTAACACAAATTTTTAAAAAGCAAGACCACTGAGTTACTGGTCATTGGTATCTACATTACCCTTTTTTTACAAGCTGGATCTTTAAAAATTTTTTTCATATATGTATTGGTCACTTTTATTCCTTCTTTATGCATATGCTCCTATTCTGTGCTCATTTTCTAAAATTGTTTTCATACGTTAATTTTTTTAAACTGTTTTTAAATTCTGTTTTAATTCCAGTATAGTTAACGTAGAGTGTTAGGAGCTTCAGGTGTGTAACATGGTGATTCAGTACTTCTGTACATGACTCGGTGCACGTCATGATAAGTGTACCCTTCATCCCCGTCACCGATTTCCCCCAGCTCCCCTCTGGTGACCACAGGTTTGCCCTCTCTCGTTGCAAGCTGGATTTTGATCAAGTCTGGGTAGTCATTTTGACATGTACCCTGTTGAATCCATAAGAGTTCACAAATCTACAGTAAAATGCTGGAAGAGTTACTTCAAATATATTTTTAACGACTGCCTAAATTCTGTATGGAATTCTGGAAGGAAGAATCGGGTATTTAAGCAACCATCTGCTAATCCTTGAAGTAATTTAACCATACGTGGGCATCTCTCTGTTGTTTTTGTTAATGAAATTGAGGAGAGTTGAAAAGTTCTTATGCTTCAGCATGCAATGTGTAATTCTTTTTACCCCCCGTGCCTACTTATAATCTGTTTCGGTAAATATCTACCCCATGGCTGAGCTTTCTGGAAAGAAGGGGGCAGATTGGTAGTCTGCTGTGTAGACAGAAAACTTCTGTTCGCCTGGGAGTATGAACATCTGCAAAATAGATATTACGCATGCAGAAAACTTGCTAGCTGAGGAGGATCTGTCGTTGCAGGAGCAGGCCTGGAGGGAGGTCACCAGCACACCTGGTGACCCCTCCAGCCTGTGGCTTATTGGCCGCTGGGGTGCACGGCTCTAGTCACTGGCTAGCATTCCCTTTCAATTGGCATCACAAACCAGACTGTGCTCTAGGAGTCTGACCTTCAGAAGGTCTGAAAATAGGTTTGTCGTCTTTTCTGAGTGGGGTTATTTTTTTTATCACTGGGTAAATGACTTGCGTGGAGTCCACAGGCTATTTACTGTTACTCAGTGTGGTTTTCAGTTTTTCCCTTCAGAGCCCCTCTCCCCCTGAAGGTGAACACAGTTTAGCCTCTGACTTTCCAGGGACTGTATATTGGATGTGGTGACCAGATTTAGGGCGCTGGGAACATAAACAGTGATGAATTCTTGTGGATACCAAAGTCACCAAGTAGTCTAAATTACTTCGAAAATAGTTAATTTTAGTTCCCGAAAGATCATTTCCATCCCAATCACCAGGTTTCTGTCCTGAGTGTACCAGAACCCAGCTAATTGCAACTTGCATGGCCTGGTGAAGGGGTAGGAAGAAAGGGCTGTTCGTTGGGTACTGGAGGATCTCGGTGGGAGCCTGTAATAGAGCTTATTCCGAGCTTCTATACCTGTGTCCAGGGCCCACTGACCGGTCACACTTGTTGATCCAGCCAGTCATACATGGACCCTTTGGGCCTCGGACAGTTTTCTCAGATTCTGCAGCCTGTAGATGCAGAGTGCACTCTAGAGTCAGAAGGTTCCAGACCAGGAGGTTCCATGTGTCTGTCGCCTTGCTCTGAGGCCACGGCAGGACTGTGAACAGCGGCTGCCCACCCCCCCACCCCACCCACCCCCGTTGCATCAACCCTCTGTCAGTTTTCCTGGGAACTTGCGCTTAGAGGGGCCTTCTCTGACGTGGGCATCCTTTCCCAGGGGGGTGAATTTTCTTCTTTTCAGACATTCCCTACCATTTCTGTGTATTTTCAGTGTAACAGTGCTGAGAAATCATTTGGAGTAATACTTTTTGTCTGCAGTAATCCAGTGATTTGTGAAAATTATTATATAATGTTACTTCATCAGTAGCTTTAAAATCATGATAATGAAGCAGCCATGTAGCCTGAAAGTTTTTCTAAGAGTCCCTCAGAATTTTAATCATTGGAAACGGTGAACTGTGGAGATCTACTCTCTGATTTGCTCCGCCTCCTCTGAGAAGTGTCCTTCCTGGTGGTGGTGTTCGCGCAGATCTGTTCCCTAGCCTGCCTCACCTCAAGGTCCTAGAAGCCACACAATTTCATAAAACCCTGTTCCCTACAGAGACTAGGAGCCTGAGGAAGCCCTTGTGGACCACTGATACCAGTGCATTGAGCTGGTTCGTTTTTATCATCGAACGTTTCTGAGAATAAAAAACAAAAATATGTGAATAGGTTTGAAGAATTTGGACTTTTGAAACTTCTCACAGGATTAGTTTTAAAATCAGATTCTTTACTTTTCTTAAAGTATCTTCTCATCGGTATGAAGCACCCGGCGATGCTATTGAGGTGATCAGCCCTGCTAGTTCACCTGCGCCGCCCCAGGAGAAACTGCAGGCCTATCAGCCAGAGGTGGTGAAGGCAAATCAAGCAGAAAGTATGTATTTTTTAGCCACCAGGTTGACCTGTTTTCATATCTGCACCTGGCATTTGCTTCTGACCATCTGTCTGGACCGTGTTAAGAACGAACTGGTTTGGTTTGGTTTTAGAGTAATCTTATAGGAGTCTGCTTTAGAGACATTTAAAGCTGCACTGATGGAAAGTTGGTTTTAAGCTTTTATTGATCACTCCTTTGTTTACATTTAATGATACAGGAAATCATTGATATTTCGTTTGCCCGCTTGTGCTTTCACAGTTCATTCTATACTAGTCCTGATTTCTGTCAGCCAGCCAGTGTTTTTCCTTTCGAAATTAAGATAATAAATTCTGCTTAGAGACAGGTATCACGTCCCTCGCATGTGCCCCTGAGTTGTGTTCAATCTTTGATGATGAGTGAAAGGCCGGGGCATCCCTGAGTAAGACATCCGTCTGTCCTCCGTTAGGTGAAGCCAGCAGACAGTATGAAGGGCCATTACATCACTACCGACCCCAGCAGGAACCACTGTCTCCACAACAGCAACTGCCCGCCTCCTCACAGGCCGACGGCGTGGGGCAGGTGCCTAGGACCCACCGCCTGATCACACTTGCTGATCACATCTGTGTAAGTTATTCTGTTAATTTTTCTTCTTTTGATCAACGCAGAAGGCACATTTCACAGAGAGAGAATCACAAAAAAGATGTCCAGGTTTTTTATGCTACATTTTTTGGCAAGTACTCAACGGGTTTAACCAAGTCCTTCTTTTTTCATTCACAGCAAATTATCACACAAGATTTTGCTAGAAATCAAGTTTCCTCACAGCCTCCCCAGCAGCCTCCCACTTCTACATTCCAAAACTCACCATCTGCTTTGGTGTCCACACCTGTGAGGACTAAAACATCAAATCGTTATAGCCCAGAATCCCAGTCTCAGTCTGTCCACCATCAAAGACCAGGGTCAAGGGTCTCTCCAGAAAATCTTGTGGACAAATCCAGGGGAAGGTATGGTTTTTATTTCAAACTCTATGTACATTTCCCAACAGTAAAACAATGTTGTTTTACTGTTATTCTCCACAGATCCCCCCCCCCCCAGATAGGGGATTCATTACTTAACACCTAAAATTTATTTACCTTCATTCCTTGGGAGATACAAATGAGGGTTTTCCCTCTATGTTCTTGGAATGTTCACTGTCTGGGCAATTGGTATGATCTCTTTTTAATGTCTATTCAAAAGTCAAGTCTTTCCATTGAAGGGAGGTGATAGATACTGTTTCAAGTTTGATAAATCAAGAAAAGTATAAGATTTTTTAGAGTTTTAGAGGTAACCACCAAAGAACTCAAAGAAAAATGGTCAAAAATGGCCACCTGTAAAAATTGGATGGGGTTGATTGGGAAAGTAGGTGACAGGGCATACATCCATTTATACTCAAAGGTCACAGGTGGCTCTTAAATGTGTAATCACTAAGCCAAAAACTTGTTTTGGTCTAAACACTATGTTTCTCTCACACTGTACTTACCAACATGGTAACCAGAGGAAGACCATTAAATTGCAGAGCCCTACAGGGTGTAACTTGAGCCTGTCTGGCAGGTTCAGGGTTCAGTTTGGTACTCCAGTCCTTTCTCTCTTAACTTCATGGGGAAAGACCTGGTAAGCAATGAAAGCCTGGAGGGCTCGCCGGAGTAGCCGGCCAAGGGCAGGATGGCGGGGTGTGGTGCTGAAACACACAGTGGCCTTGACCTCCCGGTGGAGCACTGCCTGTCCTGGGTGCTTGGCATGCGTGCGCAGATAAAGCAGTGGCAGCAGACTTTTTGGTAACCAGGTATATAGTGAAAACCTGAGGCGATTTTTTTCTGATTATAAACTAGCAACTTTTATTCCTTCTCTTGAGTAAGTAATGAGTGAACCAGTTTCTGTTTCAGGTAATTTGTACTGGGCCCTAGGAGCACACTCTAATGCTTTCTGTGTTACAATATTAGGCCTGGAAAATCCCCAGAGAGGAGTCACGTCCCTTCCGAGTCCTACGAGCCCATCTCCCCGCCCCAGGTCCCAGTTGTGCATGAGAAACAGGACAGCATGCTGCTACTGTCTCAGAGAGGAGCGGAGCCCGCAGAACAGAGGTGAGCAGCCAGCTGTGCGTCCCGGACGGCAGCTCCCGAGAGAGAGTGAGCGAGTGTGTAAGTGTGTATGTATGAGTGTGTGAGCATGAGTGTGTGATGTGCTTCTGGTTTTCCTTAAGTCAGTGCCTCTTCTCCCTCTGCTTGTATGTTACCATAGGAGTCTGGAAGGATCCTGTAGTCTCTGTTTTCCTAGTGATCTAATGCTAGTGGATTTTATTTTATTTTATTTTTAAAGATTTTATTTATTTGACAGACACAGCAAGAGAGGGAACACAAGCAGGGGGAGGGGGAGAGGGAGAAGCAGGCTTCCCGCTGAGCAGGGAGCCTGATGTGGGGCTCGATCCCAGGACCCTGGGATCATGACCTGAGCCGAAGGCAGATGCTTAACGACCGAGCCACCCAGGTGCCCCTAATGCTAGTGGATTTTAATGAAACAGTGATACTTTAATGATTTCTTCTTAAGCCTTTCTAGATCTGTTTTTTAAAAAAAACTTTTTTGTCCATGTGGTCACCCATTGATCCAGCCACTCTGTGGGCTGTACATGGAAGTAACTGCCTCACATGTTTTCTTATCTGTTTCTTACCCGACCCCTGTGAATTCTTAGATTTTTATTCCTGTCTGCATTAGCTGCCTTTGATTTGGCTCCGACCCAGTCCACTTCCCCTAGAGTGCTTTGTCCAAAACTCATGGACTCAAGCTCCAAGTCATGTAGGTTGGCATTTGAGTTCCTCTGTGAGCAGGTTCTTGCCACGTCTCATTTCTGCCACACCACCCTTCCTCTCTTCTCTTTGTCCACTACCAGCTGCTTCCTGTCCCCAGAACGCCTTTCAGTCCCCGCGCGTGTGGTTTCCTTAGTGTACGGCACCCGCGATGTTCTGTGCGGAGAATCCAGGATTTGCCCGTGGTCAGATAAATGGGGTCCAGCTCTAAACCAAGGCCTCACTGCACAGCTAGTGCATTTCTTACAATGTATTCTGGGTTATTTATGTATCGTACATATTCACGGCCGGGCAAATAGATGTTGGTACCTTTCAGTGAAATGAAGAAAAATCCATTTTTGGAAAGGGGATTATGTTAAATTTAATTACGTGTTTACATGTTTTCCCTTAAGTTTGTGAGTTTTTTGAGGACAGGGCCACATCTTATTTTTCTTTCACGTTTTTGTCTCTCTTGACATATAGTAGGGATTCTTAAGTTTGAATGAATCCACATGACCAGATTAGGTTATCACCAGCCTTCCACAGTTCTTGGCTATCGTCTGTGGCTCTAGCTAGACCACCGGTGGTCTTGAGCTGTTAAAGGAAACTTGCTTGTTTAAAATGTGTTAGTACAGGAAGCTGTGAATGGATTGTGCAATTTTTTACATGAAGCTCAGCTCATCTGGTGGGAGGCTTGAAATGATTCTGATGGAAGCAGTTTTATTTCTGCACTGTAGCTCTTCTGTTGAAGTCCACAAGGTTTGATTGCTTAGCTATGAGCTCTTGCTATTTTATAGGCAAGTAGTGCCATTAGTTTTAATTTATTGTACTTCAGAGTAGTTCGGCTAATAGGACAGTTCTCGGCCTATGTGGCGGCTGTAAATATACCCGTGTCTGTGGTTAGGCAGATGGCAGCGGGGTGGGCTGTTTCTGAGTTTTCCTGTTAACATCATTTGCTGCTTATTCGGTCTTTGTTAAGAATCTCTGTCCTCGATTATCTCCATTCCTGTCCTGATTTTTTGCGAGTGCTAGTATTTGTTTGTGTTCTGAAATACGATGTAGGGTTGTCACCACAAACACGAGATGGGGAAGTGGTAGTTTTCCCAAATACTCTATGGGAGTCCCCAGGGTTAGGGGCACATGACGAAACAGAACTAATAATAGACATGACTGTGTCCCCACAGGAATGATTCCCGCTCACCGGGGAGTATAAGCTACTTGCCTTCGTTCTTCACCAAGCTTGAAAACACGTCACCCATGGTTAAATCAAAGAAGCAGGAGATTTTTCGTAAGTTGAACTCCTCTGGTGGAGGTGACTCTGATATGGGTAAGTGGGATTTCTTTCATGAATCCCAAAATAAAACCTGCATTGATAATGATCTCTCCGGTGTTGCCTCTCATGCAGTCCTTGAGTTTGCAGGCTCTTATAGGCGTCTGTCCAACCACATTTGAGCTTAAAGTTTCTTCTCAGATGTCTGCCCGTGCATGAAGATTGCCTGCTAGAGAGCAAGAACTTGCTGCTTTCTGAAGCTGCCCATTTTCTCTCTGAACAAGTGTGGGGCCTGGGAGACTTTTCTTCTGTGGGGCTGGATCAGCTCTTCGCAGTTTACCCACTGGTCTTAGTTTTATCCATTCGGGCCTTCTCTACATGACCTGTCCTCCACCATTTGAAGACAAGTCATGTCCTTCAACTCTTATCTCTGGAAACATCCCGTTTCATCTGCTGTTCATCCCATGCTGGCTCCCATCTCAAATGCCCTCCACAAAAAACCACTTTATTTAGCTCTGCCTTTCAGTAGGTTGTGAGTAGTGTGGTATGATCTCCCCCCAATGCATCACTTAATATTAAGGGAGTCTAAGACTGTATTAGCGTTTTTGGCAACCAGTACATAGTGAGGTTATTGTGCACTTAATACCAGTGTAAATACAAGGTCTCTTTCAGTGTGTTGCTCTTGACTCAGACCTTTCCCTTGCTGTACCTTTGTGGTTACTAGCTCCAAGTACAGGCCAAGGCAGTCTGTGCTCGTGCTGCGTGGCTACTTTTTCTGCCCTAGCACGGTCTTTCTGGATCTCAGTTCAGTCATTCAGCATTCATCCGCAAACATGATCAACCTGCCATGAATCATAATGGTAGCAAACAGCTGTAGATTCAGAGAGAGAGAGACAACTCTTGGCACTTGTAAGCACGTATAAACTCATTCCATCCTCACAACAGCCCTGCGCGCTACTGTGCGTGCCGGCTCCACGCTTCCGGTGTGCTCGCTGGCTTCTAGGGGTTCTATACCTACAGCGTCGCCACCCGCATCGCTGGTAGAGCCTCCGTAGGATCGAGCTCTGTGCCGCGCAGACCTTCCCTCTGGGGCGATACGTGCGCATTCACTGGAAGCTTCCTCGTGCTCTCTTCCTCAGCACTCACTCGCTCGGTCCCACTTCTCCATTTCTTCGTCAAGTATATCCCGTGATGCAGCGAGAGCTGGTGGATCCGGGTAGTCCACAGTCTGCCTTGTTTCTGTCCTCTGCGACCGCTTGTCTCCTGACCCTGTCACAAGCAGCTGCGGGCTGTGAACCCCAAACTGCCAGGTGGATGCGCGTCTCGATCTGACCCTTTGTGATCAATAAAGGTTGAACGTCAGAGAGAAAAAGGGATGAGCCCAGTGTCAGTTATTGCCTGTAAACTTTCTCTTTTGAAGGGGCAACAAATCATATAAAAAAGAACCATTTTCGGATACTGGCCGGCACTGCTCTCAGTCTTACTTACGGATGATCCTGTTTAAAAAAATTATGACATTTTTCTGTCTCGTCACTGGTTTCATCTGCTATTTACAGCGCCTCAAATGTCACCAACAACAGTCTGGTGCGCTCACCCTTAGGTTCTCTGAGACCCCGGACAGGAGTCTGGCTGAGCACGGAGACGTACAGGGTCTAGAATCGTGCCACCTTCGTGTCGTTTGCCCTCATCCTCTCCAGTCTTGGTCTTGCCATTTTGGTGGGGAAAAACATTCTTGACAGGAAAATGCCCCGTGACTTGAAGCAGCCTACGTTCTAGTTTTGTCTTCTGTTTCCCATTGTCCTCAGGCAGCAGCTCTCTTGTTCATTCATTCATTCGGTGGTTATTTATTGAGCCCGGGTCCCGTGCTGCATGCTTGTAGAATGACAGATGGTCTCTACTCTGAAAATGTGTAATGAAACAAGTACCTCACTTTAACACAAGATAAAATTGGTGAACGTCTTAAGGCAAGTACTAACAAAATTGCTGGAGGGTTGCTTTGATTGCCAGAACTGCTGTCCGTTGTGGAAAGGGACAGTTAAGGCCCCAGGGCACACTCAGTCGTCCTCAGGAAATAGGACTGAGAAATCCAAGCCGTCAGCAGCCAAGACCACTTTGTTTCAAGTCTGTCTCTCAATTCAGCGTGCCCGCTGAGGACATCAGTGACTTTATTCTTCAAAAACCGTTAATGCTTTAAAACTTACTTTAGTTGACCTCCCATGAGCCATTTCCCTCTTTCAGAAATATTCTCTTCTCTTGCTGTTCTCCCGTGTTTTTCCTCTACTTCTCTGGCCATGTGTTATGTTTCGTCAGCAGCTCAGTCTTGCTTTGCCTGGCCCTTGGGTGCTGGTTTGCCCAGTGTTGTGCTCATGCGATAAAACCCCTGATTCATGTCATCCACTCTGGGAGTTTAAACTGTGTGCTGAGAGCTCCCAAACTCCTAGCTGGACTTCAACTTTTTCTACTAAGTTTTACTTAACATACCTTTACAGGCTTCACGTCTTCTCGAATATCTGGCTTCTGAAATGTGTAACACTGAGTTAACATTCTCCCTCTCCATACAGAGAAGCCTGTTGCCCCTCCTCCCCTGCCACACTCACCTCCACCGTGGCTCCGCTGTCACTCTCTGGGCCTCGTCCCCCTTCCTCTTCCTGTCAAGCCTGCCCCCCAAACAGCTCGCACATGCCGCTCTTCCTTGCTCATTTCTGAACAGTTACCATGTTCTCTCACAAGCTGGCCCATCTCTTTAAACCAGGGGTGCTCACACTCTGGTATCTGCCACAGTCCCTGGAATGCAGGCCTCAGGACTCTAGCACTGTTACTGAGGCTCCCCCGGAGATTCTGTCCTGATGGCCTCAGGAAGAACCACACTGAACTGTGAGCTCCAGAGGTCAAGGACGGAGTGCATTTTAAGCGCAGGACCTTTGTATTCTCGTTGGCTGAAAAATGCGAAATTGTCTTTATCTGACCATTCTGATCAGTAGGAAGGTGATTTTTATTATGATTCAACTACATAACTGTTCAATAAATATTTGTCGAATGAATGAATGAGCCCTATTCCACAAACCTCTATGAGGACAGCGAGGCTGTATCTGTCACTTTGTAAGTGTCAGCTGACCCATAAATAGGGAGACGGTCCTTATTTTGTAAGTTCTTCCTGGAGATTTCTCTCCTCCTCCTGTTGCCAGTGCAAAGCTTCCCTGATCAAGAAAGTTAGTTACGGGGCGCATGTACCAAGCCCTTCTCCAGAGCCTGGTCTCCTCTCCAGGGAAGGGTCCCTCCTGCTGCAGATGCGTCCCCAACGCCACATCCTTCCCTGGGACCTCCTGTTTCGCTGCCCACTTGCTCCCCACACTCTTTTCTCGGCTTCTCAGCATCAAGTCGGAGGTTGGGATGAAAACACCGTTTGTGTTCTGAGATTCCTCCCGTTTCTGTGCTTTATACGTAATTCCCAGGCTGTCTGCCTGGCGTAAGATTGTGCCAGTGACAGACAGATGGCAGGCTTAGCGGGAGTCTCTGCGTCATCCCGGGAGCGTGAGAGTAGTCCGCAGTGACCCACAGTCGGGAAACCCACGGTCATTGCCGTGCTCTTCCCTCCGGGGTCTGAGGCCGGCTGCCGTTGGCCAGGGTCAGCGTAGGCCCAGGTCTGTTCCCCAGCAAACTGGCCGCCACCTCTTGTTGTTTCTCCAGCAGCACAGCGTCTCTTTCCCGCTCCTGGGGAGATCGCTCCTGTTCTCATCTTCCTACCTCATCCAGATTTTTATTGCCAGAGTTCCTTTTTTAAAAAAAATAATTATTTCTTTCACTTTATTTTCACTTAACTGGTGAAAAAACCAGGTTGAGATCATGGAAAATAAAAAGGTGAATTTCACTGGAGGGTTTTGAGACTGTCTTTCTTTCAGCGTGTATGGTTATCCTGCCTCCGCTAACTTGAACGTTTGTTTAAATACAGCAGCCGCTCAGCCGGGAACTGAGATCTTTAATCTGCCAGCGGTGACTGCCTCAGGTAAGCGTCCCAGCGCAGTGTGTGTGCGCTGCCAGCAAATTCAGACTGGGTCCCCGCGGCACACTGGGCTGCTGCTCCCGGATGCAAAAGGGGAGAAAATTGTGTCAGTCAGCCAGGGAGGACATAGCAGCAATAAAAAGGGAGTTGAGATTCAATAAATACTTGCTGGAAAGAGAAATGAACAGAGACTCAAAACCATTAAAGAACAGTGTAGAAACTAGGGAGCTGAAAAGAGGAAGAAAACTGTTGAATCGTAACTTTAATAAAAGTGAGGGACTGATTCATTCAGCACAGAGAAAAAAATACCCTCGAGTCCTTATCGGTGGACAGAAGTGGCCCTTGCGTGGGCCCTCAGTGGTGCTTTAGGCCACATGCTGTGTGTTCCATGGGCCGACAGCCTCTGTGGGGGCTGTTCCTTTCTGTTTCTTGGTCTGCCTTTCAGAAGTAAGCAGAAAATGTGGTGCTTGTCTCTTTCAGGCTCGGTTAGCTCTAGAGGTCATTCTTTCGCTGATCCCGCCAGTAATCTTGGTCTGGAAGACATTATCAGGAAGGCTCTCATGGGAAGCTTTGATGACAAAGCGGAGGAGCACGGAGTTGTCATGTCCCAGCCTGTGGGTGTGGTGCCTGGCGGCGCTAACACCTCCGTTGTGACCGGTGGTGAGACACGGAGAGAGGAAGCGGACCCGTCGCCTCATTCAGGTAAAGTTTTCACTTTTGTGCTCTTCTGCTGCCTTTCCCAAGAAAAAGCCAAGTTGTAATGCTTCACTAAAAGATGTCACCTCTCAGGGTCTTAGTTACTTACAAAAAGTTTGTTTGTTTGTTTTTAAATCCTGCTCAGACCTTTTAGTAACATGAACAGAAACTTTCAAAGGACGGAAATTTTTACACAGAACGTCACTATTCAGTGTTGGGTATTATTTTTGTTTGTATCTAATCCTTATCTGGGTCGGACACATTTTAATTGTAACACAAATGCAGTTTCATATTCTGCTTTTGAATAAAAAAATAATAGTGATAGGCTCAGCATAAAAGAATTTTAAGCCATAGAATAAAGAGTAAGGAAAAAAAAAAACCTTCAGATCACATCATCCAGAAAAAGCTAGTATTCTTTTCTGAGAAGCATCATTCTAGAAGTGTCTTCTCTGTATAGACACATAAAAGGACAGATAGACATTAGAATGAGATCATTCACACATCCTGGTACAAGCAAGCACACAGAAAACAGCAACTGTAAACTTCCTTTAAACACTTTTTTCTTAATCTTCTGAGAACTAATATCTCTTGTGCTTAAAAATTTCCCTGCAGGTCCGAAGTATTTTCTAGTTTAGGGTTTTTTTTCCCCCCTGTTGTCATCAAGCAAAGTATCTCACTAAGGTTAAGAAGATCAAAGAGATCAGAGGTGTTGGTTTTGGGGTTTTTTTTTTTTAACCTACATACATGAATTTTAGGACAGTATGGATTCACGTCCTGCTCTGAAAGAGGAGCGTGGTCTTCCCCCCACCTCCTGCTCTTAGGTCCTGATTTGTACAGATTCAAGTGTGCGTGTACTTGAAGGCCGTGACATTGTGATTCTGGTTGTGTCATCCTCCTGCTGGGGCATCTGCTCTGGTTCTCACGGCCCTTTTCCTCGCGGAGGGTGTTGTACTCGCAGGCTGTTCACACTCAGAAATGTCTTCTTGCTGCCTTTATATCTGAAATGACAGCATGGCACTTTCCTCGGAACATCCCGTAGGCACGATTGCATTTCTTTCTGGGCGTCAGTTGTGTAGCAGTCAGGTCGGATGGCCTCCTGTTTAGCAGGCGACAGTTTATCTGCCTGAAGAGTCCTCTTCTCCTCAGTGTTGATCAGTAACTCATCCGTTAGTGTTCGTCCTGTGTCAGGTCTTCCTGATCGTAGCGAGGCTCTCTGCATCTGCGGGTTGGTTTCTATGCTCATGGAAATGTTGTTTTCTTTCACTGGGCTTTCCGTCTCAGAGACACAATGACATTTTTGCTGGCTAGTCCCCGTCCTCTGTAGTCCTCTCGGTCTCTTCCTGTTGCTGTTACCGTATCCCATCTTCCCTTGGGGCTCTGACCCCTGCCGTATTTTGTTCCCCGAGCTTTTCACCTCACCCTTTTTGGTTACCGTCTGTACTTTGAGCTCCTTTTGTAAACTGGCTTCATACGGTTTGAAGTTTCTATTCGTACACGAAGCACCTTTCCCCCTCATCCTAGGGTATTCTCTTCCTTACCATCAAGGACTCGCGCTGTTCTCTTTGCAGATAGTTCAGGGGTTCTGTAGAAGGCGTTCTCCCCACCTTCTTCTGTCCGCCGCTGGACTCGGGGTAAAGCTGTTCTGCTGGGGCTGAGGAAACCGCTGCTCACCTGGGCTCTGATCTCTCGGGAGATCTTTTTAATGTTTTGTTCTAGAGAGGGGTATCCCACTCCTGTGAACTTCTAGAAACAGAGCCTGACACAGAAAGGGCCAGCAGCGCTTGCCAAGCTTCTGCTGGGCTGCAGCAGTGCCACGAAGGGGCTTCTGTTCCATTTTTTTTTTTTTCTTTTGACATAAGATTTCCTTGGGGTTGTATGAACTCCTGGCTTCTCTCTAAACAGGTGGGCGAGGAGGTAGTGAGGATTTACGACTTTTGTCAACTTGCTTTAATTTCCTTAGCTGCTTCTGTGCTCTGAGGCCAGGAAAGAAATGACATTCCAGAAATTTTGTTTCCTGGATTACATGTTTTTAAGTTTATGGCACGAGGACATACCCTTTTTGCTTTAGTTGCTACAAGAAAATTCTGGCTTTTCAATATTACTTTTTTAACTTCATGGGGTACTAGGATCTGGATTCTTCATGCTACCTACCATTCTGCTTCTTTCTCTTAGCATTATGTAATCATCAGCATTTTGGTAGGTTTTTAAGTTGAGAACATAATTACTCTGTGTCAATAGTTAATTTATTTCACTTTTAGGAGGAGTTTGCAAACCAAAGCTGATCAGCAAGTCAAACAGCAGGAAATCTAAATCTCCTATCCCTGGGCAAGGCTACTTAGGAACTGAGAGGCCCTCTTCCGTCTCCTCTGTACATTCAGAAGGGGATTACCACAGGCAGACGCCAGGGTGGGCCTGGGAAGACAGGCCCTCTTCAACAGGTGAGGAACTTACTGCTAGAAAAGGAGTCTTCAGGTGATCCTTATCCGAGCCTTGGTCAGTACTTCTTGTAAAATCGGAAACTTTGGTAACCTCACCACTCTGTCAGTAGGCTCCACTTTTCAGAACAGAAACTGAATGCACAGAATCTTAAAAATTTAAAGAATGCAAGGTGTGATTACCAGGAACCAGAGGAAGAGCGCAGGGCTAGGGAGTCTGGCCTTTCAGTTCCTCCCTGAACCACACCTGGGTGCAGGGGGCCACTGCCACGCGCCGCCTGGAGCCTCTCATATAGACATTCTTAGAGAAGGTTCTTAGGGAAGTACTGAGAAATCAAAGTAAGAAAGGGGAATAGTGTGAGAACCCATCCTCTCTCTCTCGTAGGCTATGTTTACACAGACTGATGAAAACAGTATCCTAGGATATTAATGTTTCCCATTTTGTGCTTGCTGGTAAGCTTTTTTTTCAAACCTAATAACCACAATAATGGTAGTCCTGAAAGGGAACAGACTTTACTTTTTTTTGTTGTTTAAAAAATAAAACTGGGGTATATGGTGTAGATTTGAGGGTTTCACAGAATCACAAGCCATCTTTTTTTAGAAGTGAAATACACGTCAGTGGAAAAAATCTGAAATGTGCTCTCCCCCTTAATTTATGAGTATATAAATTTCATGTGGATATTTTATCAGCATAACTGAAGGCCTCTGCTTGACGAAATTCTCACATCACATGCAAAGTGTGTACTAGTTTCAGAACTTCTCACCTACACCAATGATTGTTCTCCTATCACTCTTAGGGAAGCAATTAATTCGTGAAACTAATGACTTGATAAAATGGTACGTTTTTGATTTTTAGAGTTTCTTAAGCTGTAAAAGGCTTTCCAGGGACAATGGAACAGTCAGGGTAGTGGCCGAAGGTAGAAGTGCCCTTGTTAGAGTCACATACCCCTCTTCCAGATCTGGTACCTGGTGAGCTCCAGCGTATGGCCCGCGTCCCGCCGCCCCCAGACCTTCGTCCTCAGAGCACTGTTCTCCTGCCTTTAGCTCTAAGAGTCCAGTAGTTCTTGGGGCAGACTCTTAGGGCTTAAAATGCAGTAGTTCTACTTGGGATTCTCCACAGAAACACCCGTTCTAGACTTCACACACAACTCAACCCCGAGCTTTCTTTCATGTCCGGACTCAGCAACACTAAGCTGGTGCTTGTACTCGGGTCACGCATCCTTTCTAGATTCTCACTGCTGGGGGCCTCATCATAGGCTACACTGTGTCGTGAAACCTCGGCCCTTGCACATGGTTTCATCCCGCTCTTGGTGCCACAAGACCATTCCAGTAGAACAGTCGCGTCTTCCTCCGTCCTGTGAAGTTGTGTGGGACAGCAGCTGTGCTCATGACAGTGAAAACACTTTTTCTTTCGTCAGGCTCAACTCAGTTTCCATATAACCCTCTGACTATGCGGATGCTCAGCAGTACGCCACCAACACCGATCGCATGCGCCCCCTCTTCCGTGAACCAAGCGGCCCCGCACCAACAGAACAGGATGTGGGAGCGGGAGCCAGCCCCGCTGCTCTCCGCACAGTACGAGACGCTGTCCGATAGTGACGACTGAACCGCCCAGGGAGGGGCTCTCGGTGGGGCCGGGGTGTGGGTCGGGCAGCTCTCGTTTCGGTGGGGTTTATTTTTAACGGCGGGTCAAAAATCTGACCTCCTCTGACTTGTGCCCAGAGACTTTGAGAGCCTGGACCACGGGTGATGAAGAAATGATGAAAAATTTATTTGGAGAATCAAATGGGGGGAGGGGTGGGGGGCTGCATTTGCTCCAGGCAGTTCGGTGGAGTCTAATAGTGGAGGGTTGAAATGTAGAGTTTTTAAAAAGTGGACAATTCCTGTTCTTACATCTGTTTGTAAAGAAAACCATAATGTCTTTAAATCACTCTTCTGTAAATAGATGACCTTTTTTGCAGTGTTTCCCCTTGCTGTAGTATCTGAGTGTACTTATGTTCAAATCAGCGCATCAACTTTGGGGGTAATTTTAAGAAAACAAACTCCGCACCTATCTTTTTAACCCTTGCCTTCTAAACGACCTCATACAGCCCAGTTACATAATGTTGGCTGTCACGGGCATTGTACTTTTATCCAGTTTTGTTTCCTCTAAATTCAGATTTCCGGTGATGTTTCAAATCTTGTGGAAATGTTTAGATTTTTAACACAGACCCTAGCATAAAATCTGTACATTACGTTATTAGGGTCAAAGGTAAGAGAAACTAAATTCTGCCATACTGTAAATTTCCAGTGCAGGCTTTAATTTTTTTCAATTAGTAGCACTGAAAAAATATTACTGCATGGGTATGTTATAGTTCAGGTTTTAAAGTTGAAAAAAAAAAAAGGCTTCTGTGAGGCATCCCTCACTGTTATGCACACTGGTGACTTAGCCACGCCCCTAAGTATTCTTTTCCTTCTGCATCTGATGCAGAACAACAGAGCTTTTGTTTTGAAATAAATTTGACTACCCTGTCCATAGCCACATAGATCATGTGTGATTTAAGGCTCTTGATGTCTCAGGTTTCAAAGGAAAAACTAGTATCTTGTCTTTAGGTGGCTCGGTATTGGCTGAGTTAGCAGGTAACTGATCTGTGTAGAATGTTCGTCTGTTCGGTTCGCTGTGTTCTGTATCCTAAGGCCTCACGGCGAACGTGCAGTTTGGTTCCTGCCCGTCTGCCACGCGCCAGGGCTCCATTTGATTCCTTGGGGGCGAGAGTTTATTGCTGACTCTTCATTTCACTGAATCTCAAGGAGCAGATACTTCAAAAGAGTGAATTTTAAACTAAGTATGGTACTGGAGGGTCCGCTTCATCCTTCATAACTGCTTGTTGAATTGTGAGATTTTCCTCCCATACAACTTAAGCATAGCATTGAAGCATCCTTCTGTAGCAGGAGGACAGGGACCGTTTCGGAAGGATGCCACTGAAGATGAGAAAGGGGAGAGACGGAGGGCTCTCCCGATGATACAACTCAGCACTTTATGGACTCAGTAGATCTAAACTTTTTAACAAAAGTCCTCAAGCCTCTAGAGAAAGCAGGGGCCCCATAACCACTGACTGAGCGCCTCCTTTGTAATGCGCGGGTCACAGGTGTGCCTGAGACCCTCACGTGGCCCTTCGCCCTGGGGGTCGGATCCCTATTTTGGTAATGAGGCCACTGGCTCAGGACCTTGCCCACACAGTCCAGTAAGCGACAAAGGCCACGAGTCCACGTGTGTCTGAAGTTCACGCCTTCACTCCTGTTGCTATTTCACTCCCGGAGACTTCAGGTCCTCACGATAAACCTTAGAGCAGGGTGAGTGATCCGATTCCTTCTACTTGGAAAGTTGGTACTGCTTTTATTACACATACACAGTAAATGTTCTACATGACAGTTACTATCTTAGATATCGTTAATAACTTAAAGTGTCAACAGACCAAAATGAGATGATGATAATGCTATTTTTCTAGGACCCTGAAGGTCTGAATCAGAATGGTTTTTGCGAACATGTCGGCTGAGAGCCTAACTTTTTACTTTCGCAGTTCCACTTGAGGACCCCTCCCGCCCTGCTCCTCACAGTGCATGTGCGTTACCACTCCGCCTGCCACGGCGTGGACAAGAGCTAACGCAGGACCATTTCTTAGTGCAGAACATGGAAAGGACAGAACTCACACATGGCTTACCTACGGAGCAAACCGTCTGGGAGGGTGGCCGTCCACCGAGGCAGGACCGGAACGGCACCGAGAGGGACCGAGGATTGGCGGCTGGCGGCTGTCAACCCAGGCATGATGCTCTACGGGCTGAGATTTCAGTGTTCCGAAGCTGCCTCCTTATGCATGAGCGTTTAGCACCCCACAACTAGATGAAGGTCTTCCCGATGCTGTGCGGAGCAGTATTCTGACAGCCAGGTTTCCAGTGCATGTTCATGATTGGAAGTTTCCTAATGCTTTAATTTTGGTATGCTGGTTCCATTTTTAAGATATTTATGCCCTGAAAACTCTGGTGACATAGTTCAAACAAACTACACTATTTTTAACAACTCACTTTTGAATTCACACCAGTCGGGCCAAGGGGCCGGTCCTCCTGCTTTGCTACCTTGTTTTTACAACTGTGCAAATGAACTTTCTTGGAAATACCCACATGAAGAGACTGTCTTTCTGAGAACACCTACAGTTTTTCCAGCACCGGGATGGGACCATGAGCTGAATCATTGTGGAGGATCGAAAATTCTTAAATAAAACCTGGAGTGACAAACCTAACTTTCAGTAACCCCTGCAATTGTGAAAAGGTACAAACATTCTCAGTGCACATGGTGAGTAGTTGACAATAATTTTTCAAAAATCAACCAACCAATAAATTAAGACTGGGTTGCACTGAAAACCTGATTTATATGCTATTTCTCATTAGACCTGATTAAAGGAGCTAGCTGGCTGGTAAGAGATGAGCTTAGCAGGAAGAAATTTACATCTGCAAAATACTAAATTCTAGTTTTAGTCTAATCCCCGAGGATTTGGACCTCAAGGTTTCTAGTATTTTGTTTTCTTCTTGACTCTAGTAAGTTACTTCTTGTGAGAAATTCAAAGATTACGGAATACATACAGTGTTGTTGTAGAGTCTCTAGTTTATTATGAAAGGATTCTTCCAGTATGTACACAGGAAACAAAAATATCTGTTTATCATTCCCACTCACACCCCCACCCCCAAAGGCTTACCAACAGTAGTGTTCCTTCATGGCACCTACAAAAACTGCCTTTCCCCCAGGCAAATGGCTCTTTGCAAGACTTCGGAGGTAAAAACATCCTTCTACCTAGCTCATATGTTTATACTTTATGCACTCTGAGGCAGTGTGGTAAGGTGCTCTCAACACAGTAGTCTAGTCGTTTAAGGTGACCTGACCACGTACGTTCTCCCACAGCTAAAGGAGAATCTCATCGGTCCCCTACTTTACAGATGAGGATCCTGAGACCCAAACACAAAAGGCCAGAACTAGGATCCAGATCAGTGACCCTTCTACTGTACCAGCAAGTACATGTCAGAACCACTGGGGAGACTTCACATATTGTACTTGTAAGGCCCTACCCTGACACCGAAGCTTTGGGGGTGCAGCCTGGGCAGGTGCAGATGACTCTGGTCAGGGACCAAGGCTGCAAAGGAAGTGGAGTGCTCCAACAGCATCGACAAGACTTCGTAGCATTCCTTTTTCCCCCTTTTCATAGTCGTATGTAACCGGATATAAAAACATACACTTCACTTTTACTTATAATTAAATAGGTATATTTTTCAAGGGCCTAATTCCTACTTTAAAACTTCATGCTGGACGCTGGTGCAAACCAAGACAATACTTTTGCTCCACTACGCATTACATCCCACACTGGGCTTCATGAAAGAGAGAAGAAAAATAACTCACCATAATCCCCCTTTGCCATGAGACATGTAGCTCTGATCTGCCAGATAGCGATAAAATGAAAAAGAGGGTAACAAATCAATGGATCAAAATCTTAGGCTAGAGATGCCTGGCTGACTCACCACGCACCCACCCAAGGGAAACCTGGCCCGTCTCCATCCACACGTCCACCGACACCAGCACGGACGGCACCTCACCAGTAGGTTACGACTGAAAGCATCACTTGACATCTGTCCTTAAGAGTCAAAATCGGCCAGGGGTGAAAGCTGTTTTTCCTTTAAAAACACAAAGTGGCAGTGTATACAACTTGTCCTTCACCATAGCTACGCTGACAAAACTTGAGTATCAAGGAGAAAGGATCTAAGCCATTGATTTGGGCGTCACTGAGACCGGACTAATCGCTGTTGCTGAAAACGCCCTACAACAAAAAGGGATTTAGCGCTTCATCAAATTAAGTTAAAGGTCTACTTTTTCTTGACAGCTCGGCCAACTCTTCCCTGATGTGCTGTATAGAAACCTCATCTCTTTTCAGCTCTGCTTGCTTCAGCGCTTCCTGGTAGATCTCTTTTGCTTGTGCATATCGCTCTAAAATAACCCAGAGAGAAGGGAGAATAAAGAGAAATGCAGGTTTTCCGAGTGATTCTGCCAGACTCCGCAGGGTGAGCACTCGTGCCCGCACGCAGCTAACCCGCTGTGTGCTCCCAGAGCCCCGGGGGGGGGGGAGGGGGCCGGCACGGCCACTTCTCCTCCCAGTCCCGCCAGCTGGCCCTCTGGACGCTGGGCCCGCCTCCCTCAGCCTGGGCTCGCCAGGCAAGTCCCGACCACCGAACACAGTGATGCTTCAACCAAACACACGTCCTTGCTGGGGACCTTCAGCCAGCCTCTTCGTTCCGGAGCTTCCTGCCTGCCCCTTGCCCTCCCCAAAACCTTCTCACAGATCCCTACCTGCAGGGACCCCCTTCCCTCAAGCCGGGGCAGTCCGGCTTCCGGGGCGCCCTACCTCGGTGCATCAGGATGGCGGCGAGGTTACTGAGCAGCATGTGCAGCTCGGGGTGCTCGATCTGCCGGGCCAGGTCGGACGCCCTCTGTACATAAATGCAGGCCTCGTCGAAGCGGCCCTGTGCGTCCAGGGTGGTCGCCAGGTCACTCATCAGCACGATGGTCTGTACGCAATAGAAACCAGGGCCAGTTAAAAAAAACAAAACAAAACACAACAGCTATACAGACTGAACAATCTGGAGTTTGGTAGAGTGAATATATGCTTCAGATTTCATGGTTCCTAGCATTCCACAGGTGAAGGGCATCAGCCTTTAACAAGCCCCAGGACGTTTATCGTTCACATTGTACAGCACAGAGCATCTGTTCGACTCGGGAAAATGATACAAATCTAGAAACTTGGGAACAGGATGAATATCACATATTAATCGAATGACCAAATTAGAAGCACACACACAAATAAAACAGCAAGAAGCAGCTGTTAACGATCTCATTTAAGGTTCAGCAGTCCTGAGAAGCCAGCCTCCAGCGCCTTCTTAGGATGTCATTCCTACGGGTAACTCTAAGATTCATTGGGAAGAAGAAATATGTAGATTATTGGTATTAGGGGGATTCCCTTTATTAAGGGTTTGGAATCTTAAAACTCTTAAATCAGCATTTTAAAATTTTGACACTAAGAACGGCAGACCTACCTCATCCCCTGAAGTCACGGCTTTAAGCCTCAGTTCTAGCTCTTGTGATGTGAATTCCAGATTTGTCTTCTTACTCCTCAGTGACTAAATACCTTTCCTGAGGACAATTCATAGCCCAGTACCTTGCCCTGCCCTTCGACCCCAGCCTTGGGACATGTTCAGTCTGGTTAAAATTTCTGTGTCCTACACTGGGGGTACCAGGCATCTCAGAGAAAAGCAATCCAGTTCCCACCCCTAGAATTTAATCTGATAGAGGAGAAACATAAAGATTTCAGTTCAACACGTTCTCTGTTCTAATAGAGCGTTCTGCACAGCGTGGTTAAATTCTGTCAGTGGTTTTGACTCTTCAGTGCAGTCCCTCTCTCCCCTCCCCACTTCCCCTGGCACTTTACCTGTGGGGCAAGGGAGGCAAGAACCTTCACGTATTAACCTGTTCCTCCTAAGATTCTTACTGAGATTCAGGATTCCAAAACGCTGTGGCCGTGCACCCGGAGGGCCGAGAAGCACCCGGTGCCTGGTGAGACCTACTGTTTGGAAAGGCTGCTCTGCTGTGTAAACCAGTATGCACGCAGAATGCTCTGGACGGACCCGGTAATTGATGCGAGGTCTCAAACCCTTTCTTTTTTTTTTTTTTGAAAGTCATCTCCACCTACGCCAATTGTGGGACTCAAACGCTCGACCTCAAGATCAAGAGCCGCACACTGTCCTGAGCCGGCAGGCGGCCCTCAGAGCCTCCCTGAAGCACGTAGCTGGGGGTGGGAGAGCGGCGGGAGGAAGAGGAAGGGGCCGGGGCGCGTGGGCGGGAAGCAGCTAGGACCATCCGCTGAGCATCTGTCCCCAGTGAGTGTGGCATCTCACACCCGGAAATTCTGAAAAGCTTTGCTTTACAGCTCCTCTCTCTGCTCTCCTCCCTTACCTGTGGGTGTCTTTCTCCTAGCATTTCTTCAGAAATCTGCAAAGCTTTTTCGTACATCCTCTGTGCCTGTGATGGCTGCTTGGAGAACAGAAGGTAGCGAGCATAGGTGTCTAAGCACATGCCAAGGAGGAGGTGGGTGTTGGCTTTCTCTTCCACTAAGAAGGAAATAAGAGCAGTGCTGGCATATGATATAAGCACAACAGAGAAAGTAAGGCAGAGAACCGGCCAAGCTTCTGCAACCTCTTGCTTGTTACCAAGGCCCACGCGTATTTTCACAGTCCAGGACCCTCGGAATGTGTCCTGTCATTGAAGAAGTACCTCTGACCTTCCACTTTGTTACACAAAGGCAACAATGCAGGTGGATTAACATCTGAACTGTTCCCGGACCCAATTTCAGTGTGTGCGGTGGGGGAGGGGGCGTGCCCACACCAGAAGCCATTCTCAGACACCAGCAGGGTGTGTGCGAATTCACAGATCCGCATCAGATGCCACAGGCTGAGGGTTAGTCCTACCAGACACCCCCGCCCCCCCCCACCATCAGACACCAGTCACAAACCCCGGGCTTCTGACAGCAGCCGGCGACACTGCAGCTTCCAGTACGACCCCCTCCGACTGAGGATGCCAACTGCAAGTCCAGGTTCTGACAACGGGCTATACACCTGAGCTTCCCGGGCCTCCCTCCTTCCGTTGCATTAATTTGCTAGATCAGCTCACAGAACTCAGAACATTTTACTTCCTGGGTTACTGTTTATTACAAAAGGATGTAAGTCAGGAACAGCCAGATGGAAGAGACGCACAGCACAAGGTATGTGGGAAGGGGCGCGAAGCTTCTCTGCCCTCTCCGAGAGCACCACTGTCCCAGCACCTCCACGTGTTCATCAACCAGAACCTGTGAGCTCTGTCCGGGTTTTTATGGAGGTGCCATTACATAGTGGCAGTTGGCGACAGATTAAACCTACGGCCCCTCGGCCTCTCCCCGCCTCCCCCAAGGTCGGGGTGGGACTGAATGGTCAACCCTCTAATTATAGGGCCGGATCTCTTGACAACCCTCCTTAGGAGATGGCCCAGAGTCTCCTAATTAACATAACAAAAGACACCTTAGTCACTCCCAGCACAAGAAATTCCACGGTTTGGGGAGCTCTGAGCCAGGAACTGGACAAAGACCAAGTTTAGATGAGAACTAGATTTTGGTCATCTGAATGACCGTATCTTAAAATCACAATATTGCAATATCCAATTAAATGACAAACTTTTCCTCACATTTTTCTTTTAAAGATTTTATTTTTTTAAAGTAACCTCTACACCCAACGTGGGGCCTGAACTCCCCGGCCCGAGATCAGGAGTTGCACGCTCTTAGCGACTGAGCCAGCCAGGCGCCCCACTTTAACCCACATTTTAAGTAAGACCTTGAGCATCAAGGTATGGAGCATTCTTTTTAGGTCAAAACTGTTATTTAGTAGAAACAGGTAAAGATAAATTCCAAGAATGAGTTAACAACAAAGAAAATATAGGGCAAATGAAAGAGTTTTCAGGTACAAAAAAGGCAATGCTTGGTAAGAAACCAGAAAACACTCAGAATCCTGAACTAGAAAGTCACAAGCCAACTGAAAGAACAGTTAATCCGTTTTTTGAAGAAGAAGAAAGGCTGCAATGATACAGCAGCTCTGGGCAAATTACAGTATTGACGACACAGTGTCCGAAAAGGAACAAACTTCGAACACCTCAGGCCACATGAACGAGCACACAGACCCCGAGCACAGACACGAGTAGCCAGGCACACAGAGACCCAGGAGGGTGGGTACAAGCGACGCAAACTCAGCAAGCAAACTATGACCCACCCGACCCACGATGTTCAGTTGGGTTTCCCAGCAAATTCACATGAGACACCGTTCCTTCCCTATCCTCAAAGTTTCAGAAAACGTACAAAAGGCAGACAGAATTGAAAGATGACTATGGAACCAAATAACAGGATGACCAATGATTGAAGAGAGTTTAAATAGGCCAGTGCACTTGGGGTGGATGAAGGCAGCTGTTGACATGTTATCAGAGGCTGAAAAAAAATTTTTTTTTAAGATTTTTATTTATTTGACAGAGAGAGACACGGCGAGAGAGGGAACACAAGCAGGAGGAGTGGGAGAGGGAGAAGCAGGCTTCCCGCGGAGCAGGGAGCCCGATGCGGGGCTCGATCCCAGGACCCCGGGATCATGACCTGAGCCGAAGGCAGACGCTCAACGACTGAGCCACCCAGGCGCCCCAGAGGCTAAAAGTTAAGAACGCAAAGCAGAAATCTGAAGTTACTTGCTTTGACTTAAATATATACAAAAAGTATATACTCATCTTAAAATCAAACGAGGGATAGTTTGAAATAGATCGCCTTACAAATATACTTTCAAAAAACATCAAAAAAGTTATTTGCATAAATATTAAAAGTATAGACGAATGTATGGATAAATATAGAAAAGCAAAGACAGTATGGCACCAGCTACCATGTAAAGATCCCATATTTCTCTGCCAGGAAGAAACACTGAAACCAAGTATCTAACCACGAGCAAAAATGCTGAGCAAAAGCTTATATAATCGAGGGGCAGTTTAAAATTAACTGTACTGCAAGATAATCAACAAAAAATGGCAGTTGAAAATGAGAGGAATGAGACAAATCTCTATGTTCTCTTCAAGTACAAACAAAAGTCCAAGAAGATATGTAATTTGTAACAATCAGAAGACTTTGAACTAAAACACACGTTCTTCGATGACATTTAAAGACAAAACCTGTTTGCCATACCCCCCAAATATCACAAAACAATGTATAATTATTCCAATTCTGGAAATTCTATGCTTCAAAAATGACTGCCGACTCCTATTTCTGGGATTTCTATTAATTCTTTTTAAATATTTCTATGTTTGTAAAAAGTCCTTTTTATATTTTACAATTAGAAAGTATGATAAAGTTGATAGGTAATTCCAGTAGAAAATCATCACTACTGTTATCAGCAATGGAACTTAACCACAGTGGAAAAAAAGATAGTAAAGATTTTTAGAAATAATTAATAAGGTATGATTTTAGCTGTAATATTTTTTCACTGTTAAGAAAAATGCATTTCAAATTCATATCGCACTCTATAATATGAAAAATGAAAATAATTTTGGAGAATCAACTTCTCTAAAAACAAGACCTTAAGGGAGAAATAAAAAGGCTCCATGATAAAACCTTTAGCATACTGCCAAATCAAGAGAAAACTTCACAGCTTTAATAAAGTACCAAAAGAGTTCCTTTTCTAAGCAGTAACATTTAAAATATAGTTTCTTGAAATATTACTACAAAAACTGCTAGAAATTAGACAAGAACAAATCAGATAGCCCATAACAGCTGAGAAATACACTGGGATTGCTCAGACAGAGCCTCCCCCAAAGATTATCTGAATCTGAGAAGGAGATCGTATTTATTTCTTCAAATTTATAATTCTTTTTCACATATTATTTCTAACCAGAGAAAAAGAGAAGCTACCTCAAATCTGTCCATGAAACAAGATACAGCACAGAAATTTTTACACAAAATACTAGCAAATGGCACTGTCAAATGCACTAGGGAAATGACCAAGAGAAATGACCATACGAGAACGGGGCAGTGTATTTAATGTATCAATATATCAAATGCAGACTTACATAAACGCAGACTAAAAAGGAATGTGATAAGATACTGGTTCTGAACGGAGTGGTTCCAGTAATGATGACTGATCAATTCTATTCTTTTGCACGCACAGCTGAGCTCCGAAGAGAAGGAAATCCCAAGGGCCAAACACTAGGAGTAAGCTAAAAACCCAGAGCAGGAAGCGTGGGACTTGACACCCCAAAAGCCCAGTTTTGTGAGGACGGCCTGAGCGTCTCTGTAACCCGGAACTGAGCTCTTCCAACTTCTGTCAGTCAGAGAATCAGATCGGAAGCCCCGTGCATAAAACCAGAATGACCATCGGAGGCATCGTGTGCCCCCTCCCGAGACCCTGTCCTCCCCGGGGGGGGGGTCAGGAGGAACGTGCATGGGCCAGCCTGGGATCCAGATGGGAGGACGACAACCATGGAAACCTCTATCACAGGCCTGAGCCACATGGAGCTTGAGGTCTGCATTTAAGCATTCATTTCAGCTTGGACCTGAGTGCTTGGAATAAAACATTCCGGGAATGTCTCATCTTCCAGCTAAAACCCTGCTGATGAATTTATCATCCAAATGTAGTAAGCATGGAAATTCACAATAAATGAGAATCAGGAGACAATAAAAAAGGAGCCTCACCCCCAAGAATTTTAGATAATTGACTAATCCAAGACTATAAATGAAGCAGGTTTTGCATAATTACTTATATGGCCAGTATGATCCACCTCAGAGCCTTGCATGTGTTCTTCCTTTGCCTAGAATTTTCTTTAGAGACTGCCGCTTGGCTTATCCCCTCCCATTCTTCAGGTTTCTTACCAACGAGGCCTTCCCTGACCCCTCTATACGATAGCGTACAGCCCCACACATTCCCTGCACACGAAGTCCCTCAGATACATGTCTCCATAGCGCTTAATCATCTTTGGATATACTATCATTTGCTGGATAGTGTTTATGATGAGTTTTTCCTCCACTAGAAACTGAGCTCCATGAAGCAGCAACTTCCTCATATTTACAGCTGTCTCTCCATGCCTATAGTAACATGTACGGTACATGACAGGCATTCAAAAAATATTTCTTGGAGGACCGGTTGAATGGATGAACAAATAAAAAGAAAATTAAGAACATAAAGGTACTGCACTAAAGATGGAAAAGAAAGAATTAAACCAAAAATTAGTTTTAATTATAGAATTCAACAACACTGGCGTTCCCTGAATCTATGAAAACTCAACACACAGATGTTATCACAGATCAGTAAGAAACGGATGACTAATAAAATAGCCCTGAGCTATAACCCTGTCCGCAAAGTAGGAAAAATTCTACCACTACTTCACATCATATTAAAAATTCTAGGTAGGGCGCCTGGGTGGCTCAGTTGGTTAAGCGACTGCCTTCGGCTCAGGTCATGATCCTGGAGTCCCGGGATCGAGTCCCGCATCGGGCTCCCCGCTCAGCGGGGAGTCTGCTTCTCCCTCCGACCCTCTTCCCTCTTGTGTTCTCTGTCTCTCATTC